CTCCACCAGTAAGCTTGTGTGTGTGTGTGTGTGTGTGTGTGTGTGTGTGTGTGTGTGTGTGTGTGTGTGTGTGTGTGTGTGTGTGTGTGTGTGTGTGTTCTGGCGCACTATGGCTGCACATTGGTGGTGGTTGAGGAGATCAATGCTTCTATGTAAAGCGCTTTGAGTGCCGAGAAAAGCACTATATTATAAATGTAATGAATTATTATTATTATTATTATTAATTTATAAAAGAAAACGGTAAATGTCTAAATGAGTAAGTTAGTGAGTCATTCACTCATTGATCAGTTCAAACAGCTGATTCATTTAGGAATTATTTAAATGTCTCTCTTCATGAATGAGTCGTTGAATCATTAGTTCCCCCCATTGATTCGCTCAAACACTGATTCGTTTATCCACTTCATATAGATCTTACCCGTCCTATTGCATTCGGGGTAGTTTTGACTTGGAAGAGGAACAAAATTAGAATTTTTTGACAAAATCCGTAGTTTTTAGTACAAAAATAAACTTTGGATATGTGTTAAGACTGACAAAATACACATATTTTTTCAGATTTTTAAAAATAAATATGACCATTTAAACTAAATTGTTACACACTTTGTTATCAGCAGTCATGAGTTACAAGTTCAAATGAATTTAATTAAATCCATCAAATTCATCCTGGTATTTCTCATATTATATGGTCTTATAGATTTCATAAAATGATATATTCAAAGAAAATTTCTCATAAATATAGATAAAAATAAATATTTTCTTGCATCACCCTGTTTTTTCCTATTTTACTTGTGTGGGTTTTTTTTATTTCAAAGAATTTGAATTTGCAATTGTGTTATTAATAAAAAGGTGGTAAATTAAGTAATAGCATGATAAAAACATCACTAATTAATGAGAAGGTACTGATCAGATACAATATGGATTTAGTTAAAAAATATTAATTTATAACCTTACGCTCCACCGGGTCCAAACAGACCCAGGAGTGGAACAGGTGTTTTTTAAATGCATTACAATATTAAAAATAAAGGTTCTTCAATGGTTCCATGAATATCATTTAAAGTCCCCCTGTGGTGAAAATCCAGCTTTTAATGTTGTTTATATGTCTATGTGGTGTTTTTAATGTGCTTTAAGACAAACCATGTGCAAATTCATAAGTTGACAGCATTGCTGAGTATTTTCTGCTTAAAACTGCAGTGAACCAAAGACAGTCTCAAAAACACAGTGTGAAATCGCTGGTGTTTCTGATGTCACACACGACCTTGTAACCAATCAGATCAACGTGTGATCGCCAACCAGTGGATCTCTGAGCTGAGTGAGTGAGTGGAGGCGGGGCTCATTTGCATATTCATAGAACCGCGTATACTAAATGAAGCAAGGGTGTCGAGTTACATTCAAGCTATTTCAAGGCATGGGGATTTTTTTTAACGCAAAAAACGTTTAAATATGTCAGTTTGGTGATTAAAGATAGATAGATAGACAAAATGCTCTTTATAGTGGAAAGAGGTTTCTAGAATGCTCTTCACACTAAGAAAACTGAAGTACAAACTTTGAGGAGCCAAAAATGGTGGTTTTGTGGCGTCGCTGTGAAAAGCCCATTATTTTTAAGAGTGTAAATCAATGAAGACTAAAGAAGTGTTGTTCTGCCTTCATGCACAAGCTCTGTCTGTCCTCTCTGACCTGTGTATGTGTTGTTGAAGGTTTTGGAGGCTCTGAGGTACCTGCACCTGAGGCACATCGCACACTGTGACCTGAAACCAGAAAATGTGCTTCTGGCGTCACCCGAACCGTTTCCTCAGGTCTGAGACCCTCATGGGAATTTCAATTATTTTGAGTAGAGTCGCATATTCAGATATTGCTTTATAACAGCTCAAACAAGCAATGCAGAAATCAAATGCATGCATAAAAGCATCTGATAAATGTGGTCATTTGCTATCCAGAAGTCCCAAATGTGATGATGGTCTCTGTTTCAGGTCAAACTGTGTGACTTTGGTTTCGCTCGCATCATCGGAGAGAAGTCGTTCCGGCGCTCGGTGGTCGGGACCCCTGCGTATCTGGCGCCCGAGGTCATCAGGAGTCACGGTTACAACCGCTCTCTGGACATGTGGGCCGTGGGGGTGATCTTATACGTCAGTCTGAGCGGGACGTTCCCTTTCAACGAGGACGAGGACATCAATCAGCAGATCACGAACGCCTCGTTCATGTATCCGCGGCAGCCGTGGTCCCTCATCTCCCTGGAGGGTGAGAGGCGGCGGGGCGAATGGCTCTTTACAGGGGATTGCTGGGATAGTCCACCAACGACTCTGTTATCAATTCAGAAAGCTTTATTGGCATGACAAAAAAATACATTTTGTATTGCCAAAGCATCAAAACAACATAGAAAAGGATTTAGAACATTTAGTACACAAAATAATAATACTGATAGCATAAAACTATAATAACAAAATAAACAAAGATTAAAGGATTAGTTCACTTTTAAAAAAACTTTTGCTGATAATTTACTCACCCCCATGTCATCCAAGATGTCCATGTCTTTCTTTCTTCAGTCGAAAAGAAATTAAGGTTTTTGATGAAAACATTCCAGGATTTTTCTCCATATAATGCACTTTGCTGGGCACCAAACGGTCATCAAAATGAACAAATCTTTTTCCGAGTCAATTCGTTCATTTCGGTCGTTAAATGAATCAAATGACTCGGAAAAAGATTTGTTCATTTTGATGAACGAGTTCGAACAGGAGAGTCACACAGAACAGAGCGACGCGAGCATGTGAGCTTATATAACTTAAACTTTTTTTTTTTTTTTTAAATGAGCGATCGTTTCGCTTGATAAGACCCTTATTCATCGTCTGGTGTCGTTTAAAACCATTTGAACAGTTTGCAGTTTGCACTGAAACTGTCTTTTGGACCTTGAACCGTTTGGTGCCCAGCAAAGTGCATTATATGGAGAAAAATTCTGGAATGTTTTCATCAAAAACCTTCATTTCTTTTCGACTGAAGAAAGAAAAACATGGACATCTTGGATGACATGGGGGTGAGTAAATTATCAGCAAACGTTTTTTTAAAAGTGAACTAATCCTTTAATAAATAAAATAAAGATGTGGCAAGATGATAAAAAATTGTGCAGCTATATCAGAGTTTTAGCGTTGGATTACAGGTGTTAAATTGTGGAAATATGCTATTAATTTTGGGGTAATAGTGGTCTCTGATCTGGTTATCACTTACTTACTCTCATGTATTTTAAAAATATGTGCTGTCAAATCGATTAATCGTGATTAATCGCACCATAAAAGTTTGTTAATATATATTGTCCTGACTCTCTGTGGTTAAAATGTTTAATGTTATTGATGTTATTAATGTTATTAATTACATGATGTGGTGATTATTTAATCTAATTAATCGCACACCAAATTTGGCTGAAAAATGACCCCCAAAAGATCATTTAAAGTCATTATTGTGTTGAATGAGAACACCATCAAATAGACGTTACAAAAAGTAGCTTTAGAAAAAATATATTTGATTCAACGTGGAAAATTTATTACACATATACTTTTAGGCTTTAACGGCAATGAGGGTGAGTAAAGGATGACAGAAATTTCATTTTTGGGTGAACTATACCTTTAATTGGGTTTTTTATTAACATTGAAATATGATTTTTTTTTTTTATTCTTATGAAATGATACTCTAAACTTTCAAACTTTTATGTTAGATGCGATTAATCGCGAATAATCGGTTTGACAGCACTATTATATTTTGTAAAACATATGATTTTCTTTATTTCTCCGACCAGTTGACACCAATCTGTCTTCCATGATTTGGATGTTAAATACCTTTTGCTCTATTTTATAACACTGTATTAATACAATTAATAATACAATAAACAGTGCACAGTTTAGAGGTGAATATCGTCCAGGACCATGAAATCCACTCAAAATACAAAATATTAAAGTATAAATATAAATATAGTAAGCTACATTCATTTCTTTTTTAACAAATACTCACTCTTATTGTCTTCAGTGTCTTCTGACTGCCGAGGATCACAAGTGTGACACGTAAATGAGGGGTTACTTTCCTTCTTTCTGTTAATCTCTCTCTCTCTCTCTCTCTCTCTCTCTCTCTCTCTCTCTCTCTCTCTCTCTCTCTCTCTCTCTCAGCGGTGAATCTGATCAATAACCTGCTGCAGGTGGTGGTGAGACGCAGGTTCAGCGTTGGCAAAGCCATGGGTCATCCCTGGTTTAAGGTCTGGTGACCTTCTTAAACAATCAACCAAATCCAATGATATTTTACTGGCATGTTTAATTGGCTAAAACCGCTGAAGTCAGATTTCAGAGCACTGACTGGATGGACAGATGAACGCAGTATCATGTATGCACATGTTGTCCGTGTGTCCCGCAGAACTTCCAGATGTGGTGTGACCTGCGTGGGTTCGAGCAGGGGATGGGGTATCGCTATCTCACTCACGAGGCGGACGACGAGCGCTGGAGATCCTACGCCCTGGAGAAAGGCCTCAGTTTCCCAGAACATTTAACAATAGCAGCACATGAAGAACAGAAAACAGACGTGTAGATTTTATATGAATATAACTGTGAATATTGTATTATACGAACAACTCTGTGAATCTACTGTGGTGTACATCCAATTATTTTGGTGTTTGAGATATTTTTCAATAAAATAAGAAAATACTAACCTTGGGGTTTGTTTCTGATCTCGTATACTGTAAGTATCATGTTGAGGATTATTTGCACCCAACACACATCCTGAAAATCATTCAATTAGAATAAATGAAAACACTTCTGATTTATTTCTGGCTCTAACCATCATAACAAAAAGAATTACAAGAATGCTAAAGTTTTTGGTTAGTTTGTTGATATTTTATTTATTTATATTCGGTTAAATGTTTGTTTAATCAAAGCTAATCCAAAATTATTAGAGCCTCTCCCACGTGTTCATCTGGGACTCTTATTGTGTTATAGGCATTTTGTGTTTCCTTAAAAGGACTTTTATTTTATTACGTTTCTGAACGCGGAACTTCCGCATACGTCATTATCAGCGTGCGAGAGATGGACACAAACAGAACAGCGAAGGTGAGAATAATGACTTTAAGATTAATTATTTTGAAAATAATTACTGTAATCACAATTATTTAGGGCTTAAATTACATTTATTAAATATGAAGTTATGTTAAATTGAAATTATTTGAAAAATAAGAATATCAGCAGGCCAACTGTATAAAAACGTCTTTCTTTCAAGTCAAATTTACGTTCATATTAATGATGTTATCACAGTTTCCATAACGTGTTATCTTTCATGGCTTGCGCAGTTATTTACCTCTTCGTTTTTGCATGCTGTTGTAGTTTTATTATACTTTATTTTTTATTTCGACTTATGAAACTGCCAAACACATTCTGGAATATTATATCACATAATTATGATTTTTAATGTCTGACATGACAGTATTCTGCAGTGTGACATGCTAAACATCATACATAACTCATCCATGCTTTTCGTCATTCATGCTATATTAGTGCTGTCAAATCGATTAATCGCAAATTGCATCTAACATAAAAGTTTGTTTAAATAGCGTGTTTACGTGTGTGTATGTATGTATACATTTATATATATAAATATAAATATATATATATATATATATATATATATATGTGTGTGTGTGTGTGTGTGTGTCTGTGTATTTTATATATGTGTGTGTGTGTGTATATTTTATATATATAAACACATTATATTAACTTTTATGCTAGATGTGATTAATTGTGATTTGACAGCACTAATATATATATACATAATACACATACATGTAATATACTGTATAATAAATATTAATATCCACATTAATTTCCTTTTTGCACAGCTTGAGTTTGCGGTGCAGATGTCATGTGACAGCTGTGTTAATGCAGTAAAGGGCGTTTTGGAGAAAGAACCGGGTGAGTCCAGCACAACATGAAACACTTTTCTGTGTCATGAGCTATTATCTCATTCATGTGTGTGTGTGTGTTTAGGAGTGCAGTCGGTGCAGGTAAACCTGGGTAAGGAGGAGGTTCTGGTTGAAACGGCGCTGACGTCTTCACAGGTCCAGACTCTGATAGAGAGCACAGGCAGACGGGCAGTGCTGAAGGGAATGGGCAGCTCAGAATCAGGTGTGAACCGAAACACTGTTAGTGTCAAAGCACAGTGAGACCCATAGACTGTAAACACATATGGACGTAGTGTCCGTAGCGTCACCCGTAGGTTTCTAAAGAGCATTGTTGAAGCCTAAAGTGGGCGGAGCCGGCCGTCGCCATCTTGGCAGCGCGTCACTCCCGGATAAATGAAAATGGGCAAAGAGCAAGGGGGTAATCCATCGACCGGAAGTTGAAGCCATGTTGTAGCAGAACTTCACTTGCGTTAGCATTTCCATTGACTCCCATTCATTTTGGCGTCACTTTGACAGCGAATAACTTTACATCTGAGGCTTTTAAAGACTCCATTTGTCCATTATTTATTTCTAAAGAAACACGACAATGTATAAAGGGCTCCATTACCTTCTATGTTACATTATGGCCCCGTAGAAACAGTTTTAGTAAAAATAGGCTAACGATTGCGTCATAACCACTCGACTCTCTGTCGCGCTGTACAGAAATTACCGTAAGGACAGGAGGAGAAGCTCGCAGGCAATCGGGGGGACGTCCCGTCAAGGGAGAAGCCCATAGATAATGAGTCCATAAAAGCAACGGAATACTTACTCCTGCTCACTCACGCCAAAGAACTCTTTGCTCAAGTTCCCCGTCTCTGCAAGATTAACGTTGGCAATTTTCACGCACAGCTACTAGAAGATTAACGTCTGTCAGACAGGTTGCTCACGTCATCAAGCTTAGTTTGAGTCGGTTTGAGTCTGCGCGTCAGGAACGGAAGTGCTCAGAAATCGCTAAAAATGGGCTTCAACTGTCTCAACTGAGTTCCAATGAGATGGCTCTGTCCACTTCTTATACTGTCTATGGCGAAGAGGCGATTAGCCGAGGTGACGTGACGCTAACAGACAGCAGACAAACAGCGAGTAGTGACATCAGCGGCAATCCACCTGTCATTCAAGTGGCCACGCCCTTAATTATGCAGAACTTTAAGGCTTAATATAATTTAAACGGATGCGTTATAGAAAAAAATCCCCCCTCACAGTTGTCATGAAGGGCAAAATTAGCTATATAGACCAAAACGCCAGTCTGTAAACACATTTTTTTCTGCTGTAAAGTTGGACATTTTAACATGGGAGTCTATGGGATTGACTCTCTTTTGCAGCCGGTCTCTAGTGGCCAGTCGATGAACTGCAGTTTAACTCGCTTCTGTGTTTGATTCAAGAGAGAGACCGGAAGATTGTGAACAAGTGTGAAACGGGCCTAATGCTTGTTATCAAATTCAAATTCAAAAATGCTTTATTGGCATGACTGTAAATAATACAATATTGCCCAAGCTTGGAATACATTTAATAATAGTGTACAGTGTAACAAATTAGAACACGTGTGAGCATTTGATACCACAGTGTTTTAACATACACACACACACATTACTGAGGGTCACTGTGGTGGACAGTAGGGAAACACACTGAGGTCAGACATTACACACACATTCACCTGCTGTCTCTCGGGCTGGGACACACACACACATCATCTGTCCCTCTCCTAATATTATCTGTATCTGTTCTACTTCAGTCATGGCTGTAAACAAGTTCTGAATTTGTTTAAGTAGAGGTCTCTGATTGGTTATCTGTGTGTGTTGTTGTTGTCAGACCTGGGCGCTGCCGTGGCGATGGTCAGGGGGGCGGGGCTTGTGCAGGGCGTGGTCCGGTTCCTGCAGTTGTCACAGGAACGCTGTTTGATTGACGGGACGATTGACGGACTGAAGCCAGGAGCGCACGGCCTGCATGTGCACGAGCTCGGCGACCTCACACAGGATTGCAGGAGGTATCGCGACCCTTGACCTTTCACCTTTAGATCACATGGCAGTCTGTGTTGGTTAGGATGGGTTAATCATGATCATATGTGTGCTGTGTGTCCTTCAGCTGTGGAGATCACTTCAACCCGTTCCGGAAACACCATGGAGCTCCTCAGGACGCAGACAGGGTACATGTACTTCATATTAGCTTCTGGACACACACAAGCCTTCAAGATTTCTAATACTCGCCCAGAAAGAAGATTATTGAACACATTCTACACTTGTTCACACCTTATGCCAACCTTATAGTTAATGAATGTTGTTTTTTATTCGTTTTTAATAAACCAGATCGTTTATGAAGTTGACAACTAGCCCCGGTGTATTCTGTATAGGGTATCTAAGTGGTGTTTTACGGTGTTCAAAATGTCCTAAAACTATGGTAATACTGTAGTAGAAGCAGCAAATGATTTATTATTATATGCATTTTATTAATGTATTTATTAATAAGTATGTGTTTTTAATGACTTATTTATATTGTTGTTGTTATTATTATTTATTCATTTACTTATTTATTTTGATATATTTTATATTTGTTTTTATATATATATTTATATATTTAAATATTCAAACTATGGTAATTCTGTGTAGAAAAAGCATTAATTAAAAATTGATGCTTAATGCTTAAAAATATATATTTTTAAATAATTACACATTTTATTTTGTCATTTAAATCAATTTATAAATAAGTATAAATATACTTATATAAATATATTATACTTATTTATATAAATATAATTTACATTTATTTTTATTTTAAATATTATAAAATATATTATGTATTATATATATTATTTTTGTATTATATAATGTATATTTTTATTATATACATTTGTTTATGTATTAATAACAAATGTATTATATATAATATTTATTTTAAAAAATTAAGAAGCAATAACAGAATTTAGTATTTTCATTATATATTTGTATTGTTTTATTTGTATATTTACATTGACTCAGGAAATAAGCACTATAGATGTGTGTGTTTAACGCTGTGACTGTGTGTGTGTGCTCCAGCATGTGGGCGATCTGGGAAACGTGACGGCAGATCCCGACGGAAGAGCTTCGTTCCGGCTAGAAGACTCTCAGATAAAGGTAACACAGCTGCGCTCTCCAAACACAGTCCGGTGTAAGCAGTCAGATGTGTGTGTTCATGAACTATCTATCTGTGTGTTCAGATTATCTAAAGTCTCTGTTATTGTTAATTACACTGACCTTCTGTTTCATGGCTACATCTCCTTTTCAACTCTTATATCATTCAGTGTCATCTAAAAATACGCATGCACTAATTTCCCAAAGCCAGTGTATACTTGCGTTTGGCGCGTGTTCGTGCTGTGATGATGTCACATGTTTCTCCTGCTCTGTTGGGCAGGTGTGGGACGTGATTGGCCGATCTCTGGTGGTGGATTCTGGGGAGGATGATCTGGGCCGCGGGAATCACCCGCTGTCCAAAATAACAGGAAACTCGGGAGACAGGTCAGTTTTATTTGTGTAGCACTTTTCACAACACACACTGTTTCAGAGCAGTGTTACACACAATCATGCTGTTAATGTTGATGAGATCGTGTTTCTGGATATATGGATGTACTTATATATCCAACTGGGCGAGTTTTACGACGATATAAACAATCAAACTGTTGAGATTTGCTATATATAATCACTCAAATGTACTGGATGTATGTGGATTAAGTTGAATATACTTATGTCGTAAGAAACCTGCGAAATTGCATTTGATTGACAAGGATTTTATTACTTTATTATATGGACTGACAATATAAACAAAACAAAAAATGTCTAGCTCTTAACTGTCAGACTTATTAGTAATGTAACTAATATTGGGTTCTTGTGTCTGCTGATCTATCCAGAGAAAAACATGATGACAGAGATTTAAAATAAAGATAAAACACTTCTAATGTAAAATAAGCTGATTTAAAGGGACAGTTCACCCAAAAATGTAAATTCTATATCATTTACTCGCGCTCATGTTGTTCCAATCCTGTGTGAGTTTCTGTCTTCTCCTGAACACAAAAAAGACATTTCGAGGAATGTGAATGTGGCCTCATTTTTCCCCCTTTGGTTACCAATATTCTTCAAAATATTTTCTTTTGTGTTCAACAGGGTGCATTTTGTCTTCATTTTTGGGTAAACTATCCCTTTAAGTGAAGGTATTTCCTCAAATCCCACTCTGTGCGGAGCTAATGCCCTTGTCTTTCATGTTCTTCAGTGGACTGTGTGTGTGTGTTTGCTTAATGTCCGCTCTCTCGCTCCGGTCTCAGGCTGGCGTGTGGAATCATCGCTCGATCGGCCGGCTTGTTTCAGAACGCTAAACAGATTTGTGCCTGTGATGGTGTGACCCTGTGGGAGGAGAGAGATCGGCCCATCGCTGGGAGAGGACGGAGAGTCACTGACGCGCCGGCAGCTCATCTGTAGTGGGTCGAGCATGCCACCTTCACACACATACAGATGGACATCAAGCACAGATATATGGAAGAGACCAAACACGTGCCTGTCTGAAGCTGTCATGAATGTATGTTCAGGTTGAGATGAGATTCTGATGCCACAAATACAGAAATCAAACCATGTGTAACTATGTAGATGTAGAGCTGAATTTTATAATTCATTCCGTTACGCTTTAGTTTGTCTGATTTTACACACAGCTGCTGGAACTTCAAAATCAAACTTTAAACAAAATATTTTTATACGATGAGTGATTAAAAAAAAACTTAAATGTGTTTCAATGGGGGCGATTTGTAAGCATTTTCAAAAAAATCTTCAGCACTTCTGTAATAATCACTTTAAAATGAATTTCCCATTGGCTAACTGACCTAAAGTGTCTTAATTTATTAATTGTTGTATTGTTTGTAATGTGTGGGTTTTTTTTACTATTGTTGTACAGATAGAGAAAAAATAAAACAAATATATAAAGCACGTTTAATAATGTTCCCACTAAAAAAAACGGACAAAAGTGCTGTGATTATTTTTTTTATTTTACATATTTGATCCCAATAAAAAACAAGCATGTTTTGCCCAAAATAAGCCCAAATCATTCATGTATTGTGGTATACAAAAACTGACTCTATTCTTATTTATGAAAAAACAATCCAAAGTTGCTCACCGTGCATGCATATCAGATTCAGAGAATTTAACTAAACTAAAAAAAAATTCTGTGGTTTGTATGGTGCATTTAAAGTGCTTTTTTGCAATGTCTCCGCTTGCTGTGAGTTAAGTTTTGTTAAATTCCTGTTTACAATGAAAACATAAAAATGATGCATCGTGTGCATGCGATGGAGATGCACGCGCAGTGTGTGTGTGTGTGTGTGTGTGTGTGTATGCATCAGCACGCGCTCACTCAGTCCTCTGCTGAAGAATGAGAGCGTTTCTAAAGAACGGAAGTGGACCGACCATTTTGAAACCCCGCACCGCTTAGGTAAGATGGAAGATTTTTTTTCCTCTCTATATTTGTTTATGTTTAAAGCAATTCCATAATTCATCATATAGAACCAATAGGTAACGATTGCCAACGAAACACGGAATGATGTATCTGAGCTCGCGGTGTGATTTATAGAGAAACGCGAAGGGGTTTGGGGGGCGCGGGGACACTCCAAAAAAATCCTCCCAAAATGAGTCATCTAGAGAGATTTATTTTTTGAAAGAATGAATAGAAATATGCATTTACAATGAAAATATAAAACGATGTAGTTGCATCGCGGACATTTGTGGTGTTGATGACGGAAGAGATTGTGAGTGTTTTGTAAACATCTGGTGTCAGAAATGTTACATTCAGTAAATCAGTCGACACGCGCTACTCGTGTTGTTGACGCCAGAGTGCTATAAAGAGAACGGCGAGTCAGCGTTTCTCACTCATTTATACATTTAAAAACGGGTTTGAAGGATGTGTCAGGGTTAGAAGAAAACAATGATCCTTTAGTGTGATGTTTATGTGTGTGTTTGTTCCGTGAGCTGTTGGATTGAGGAAGTGAACGTGTTTACTCTGCGTCACCAGATTACTGTGGCTTTGTGACTGCAACTGCAACAAATTATTTTTATTAAATGCTGAATAAATGTTTCATCGATATATTCCGTGTGTGCTGAAAAACGTTATGTTGTTAATGTGTTAGGATTATATTTAATTGTGATATGTATTTCTTCTAAGATATTGTTATGACAAACATGGAGTCATCTGTAACTCAGGACTTTTGTCACGTCAAACAATAGAATTAACACATGATGTTGTTTTCACTAAGGACTAAGCATTATGGAACTATTATTCCCTCCCCCCACCTGTATAAATCTATACAAGTTTTCCCCAATTCATGGGAAATAATACTAACAATAAGGTACAAAACGATACTGTTGTTGTTGTTGTTTTGGGGACATGTCTGAAAACTATGGTATTACCATTAGAAATGCACTTATATATCGGCCACCATATCGGTATCGGCTTATAAATGTCCATATTTATTTTTTTCCTTATTGGCCCGATAAAAGAATTTGGCCGATTTATCTTACAGCCGATAAAAAATTGATTATTTCCATCAGCTGAGACACTTCGGCTGTTCACCATTATGTTTTTGAATTGCTTGAAATATGATTGGAATCACTTCAAAGAGGAAAATACAGTTAAGTGCAACATGCAAACTTAATTTAACTTAAACTTAACTTAGTAAGTCTGTCATATAGCCTAGGCTACATAAGAGAACATCATTATAATTGTGTGCTTGGGACATGGATTTAAGGGTAAGAGTTTTTGTAATCAGGCTCTCAAAAATTATATAAAATTTACATAGTTGGCCAATATATGAGTTATCGGTTGGCCAATATAAAGAATTGTCGGTTATCGTACCGGCCAAAAGTTTTATGCTAATTTTCATTACCATAGAATTACCTTGGTATTGTACGGAGCACTTGAGTATGATAATCATTCACTATCACAAACATCATGGTATTTATTTCAGAGTACTATAAGACCGTGAATGGAATAATAATTAATATCTGATGTCGTCACTGTCCCATTTTTTAAGGGAATACTTACCCCTCACTTTTCAAATTGTACTTACACATGCTTTTATGTCCTTGTCTTTTACTCATTTCAGCACAATGGAAAAGGGCCACACGGTTAAGCTCTTCGTAGGGAATCTGGCCCTGGATACCACGCAAGAAGAACTGTCAGCCATCTTTGAGTCATACGGCCAGGTTGTTAGCTGTAGCGTTTTGAGGCAGTTTGCTTTCGTACACCTTCAAGGAGAGGGCGCTGCTGAACGTGCCATTCGGGAGCTCAATGGCCGAGAGTTTAAAGGGCGTAACCTCGTGGTCGAAGAGTCCCGAGGACGCCCACTCCACTCGACGAAGGTGTTTGTGGGTAATCTGAGTAGTATGTGCACCACAGAAGACCTCCAGGAGCTGTTTCAGACCTTTGGGAAAGTTTTGGAGTGTGATAAGGTGAAAGGTAAGAGAGTAGTTGCAAAACCCAGACCCCCAACCCTGCTCATGGAGGGCTACTATATCTTACAGAGTTCAGCTACAACCCTAAGCAAACACACCTGAGGTGCTCAGGACTACTTCACACTGTCAGTCCAAATCCGATTCTTTGTGTATCTGATTGGAATCTGATCTAAAATTATAGATGTCCACATTGTGTATCGCAACTGTTCAGATCCGACCTGTGTTTGACTTTCGTTTTCCGGAATATCTGCATTGATTTCTATGGCGTTGTGTTGGTAGGCATACGCCAAAAACAACAACAACCGCAACATGGAGGTGTTTGCAATAGAGATGTTGTCTTATTTAAATCTTACAACATGCAAATGTGTAGCTGTGCACTGGACTATGCGTCTTCTGAGGCTTCTTCCGCGCTGTCGTCTCCGTTATATTGTCATTTTCTGCTCGTCCGGCACTTTGCAACAACACAGCATTGTTTTGGCAGCGACTTTCAGCATGTTTCCTATAACAACGTCTGACGTTTACATTTTACGTGGCGTGAGAGTCGCATAAACCACGCAAAATCTGATCAGAGTGGTCAGACTCAAACGGATTTCCAGAAATGCGATTTGAATAGGATTTCAAACCACATATGGATGTAGCTTGAAACGGATTTGTAAAAATTGCATTTCATGTGATTTTCTATTGCTCTTCACATTAGCTAATTCTGATCGGATTTTCAATCAGATATGCACAAAAATCGGATTTTCAAAAATCACGTATCTCTTCAGGAGCTGGGTTGGCTTCCCCTGATTTAAAGTGTGGGTAATCCTGAATAATAACACTCCTGTCTTCTCCTTTATTAGGTTATGCTTTTGTACACATGGAGAACAAGGAAGATGCGCTGCAGGCTATTGAGGCTTTGCACGGGACCTCTTTCAAAGGACGACCACTATCCGTGGAGCTGTCCAAAGTTCAGCCAAGCAAACAGGCACCAACTGGGAAAATCCCATGTGTGAGCTGCGGAAAACAGGGTCACTATGCCGGTGAATGCCCAGCTGGGAAGCCCACCCTGGAGCAGTACCAGAGCCAAGCGGCCGTGTTAGCAGCCGCCGCTGCCGCCGCCGCCGGCCTCCCGCTACAGGTTCAACAGAGCGTCCACAATTCGGTATACAACACCTCAACCTTTGACCCCACCTATGCTGCTTTGACTGGACTTACAGCTGCTGGTGCAAGAGCCGAAGGTGGAACCGCGGTGGCACCAGCCGTCTACGGAGCACTAGCTAGTCAAGTGTACGGTACGGTTGCCAATCAGCTCTACGGTGGGACAGTTGCAAATCAGGCACTCAACAACAGTGCTGCCGCAGCTGCCGCACAGATGTATGGCTCCGTTAACCCAGCTTTCTATGGGCAGATGACGAGTGGAGCAGTCGCAGCCGCCGCAGCAGCCGCCGCTGCATACGGTCAACAGGTTTACACGCCCGCCATGGCAAATCAATTGTTTCTAACTGCAGCGCCGAGCATGGAGGTACCAGGAGGTACTGCTGTTAACCAAGCTTATACGGTAGCACCGGCTCTCTACAGCACGTCCCCGGCTTACGGGGCTCTTGGGGCAGCTGACACAGCAGCTTTCTTTGAGGCAGCAAGGGCACACTACTTTGCACAAGGACAGCAAGTGCTAGCTGAACAGCAACAGGCTAGCTCAAAGTCTGGCGAGAGGGACCGGAGTCCACTACGAAGATCTGCCCCACTTCTGCCTGACCCTGTTATGAAACCATTTATGTACCAGAGGGCCAAGCGCAGAGCCTTGTTGCCCACACCTGCAGGTCGAGAAGAAGCCGCCGCACAGGAGGACGACCCTGTAGCCAGGTGAGTTGATTTCAATTAAAGACACATAAGCCGCGTTTCCACCGAAAATATCTGGAAAAATTTGTCCCAGGAACATTTTTTTCCCCAGACCTGTTGCTGTCTGTGTCCACCGCGGTCTAAAGTACCGTAAAGATTAGGGAAATTAGTCTGGTGACGTAGGACTGCACGCTACTTTACAGTTCCCGCTCTGATTTAAAGCTTAATAAAGCCTGAACCTCGTCATCAGTCATGTTTTTTAAACTCCATTGTTGATTCGAATAGCAAACAACTGTTCCTGCACGCACCGCAACAGATAAAATATGGTGATTGAAATAAAATGCTGCGTGGAGTAGTACACTAATCAAAATGCGGCATGTTCAGTGCCCAAGTCCCACCCCTGAAGGTTCCTGAACTTTGAAAAAGTACTACCTCGCAAGCAGGGCTTTTCGGAGCGAGAAATATTCACCCAGAACTTCATTTAGACTAGGGATAGGCAACGTCGATCCTGGAGTGCCACTGTCCTGCAGAGTTTAGCTCCAACCCTAATCAAACACACCTGAGCAAGCTAATCAATGTCTTCAGGATTACTAATGCTAAAGGCAGGAGAGTTTATATCAAGGGTTGGAGCTAAACTCTGCAGGACAGCGGCACTCCAGGATCGACGTTTGCCTATCCCTGATTTAGACCCTTGTTCCTGCGGTGGAAACACACCGAGTACCATCCCAAAGTCCCTAATTCCTGGGGAAAGTTCCTGCGGTGGAAACGCGGCTATAATAAACAATTACATCACAAGTTTGTACATTTCAAAATATTGGCTGTTTTAGTTCCGATTTACAGTAGCGGTGGTGTGTGTGTGTGTGTGTATATGTGTTTCTGTGTCTGTCCCTGTCTAATGGTGTATACATTTGTTTGTATATGCATGATTTCTGTCTCTCTTTTCCTGTCTGCGTGGATGTGCATGTGTGTTTTCTCTCCTCCATTTCTCACAGATATTACGCGGAATACTACCAGCAGTACCAGCAGCTGCAGCAATACCAGCAATACCAACAATACCAACAATACCAGTATGCGTATCCACCTCCCAACCACCTTGCAGCAATGTCCGCACTGCAGGCTTTGCCCGGTGTCCCGACTCAGCAGGTGGCAACGCTCGAGTCCCTCAGGCCAGTCCTGCCCGCCGCCTCCGTGCCTGCCATCGCAATGGCAACACCTCGCGTGTATGAGCCACCGCCGATACCGCCGTCGCACAAGGAGCCCCTCCTCCGCCGCCCCGAACTCGCCCTACACACCCCTGAAACACCCTTCCGATAGTGTGCTCCACGTCCTCTCTGCCTCTCCTTTCCTTGTGCTGCGTGTGTGTGTGTGTCAGAAAGAAGCCACAGGTGTATGTTTGACGTGTGCGCTTGGGTTTAAGACGGTGGCTGTGTCAGTTTTAACTATAGACTGGAGTCTCTAACCTTGGTTCTGATCTCTCACACACACCCAGTGTAGTCAGGGCTTGAAAAGGGAAACTGCATGCTCTCATTCCTGCACACTAAACCAATATAACACATTGTCTGTTTAAAGAAACCTTCAATCTAATAGCCAGTTAGTTTTGAGGGGTAGATTAGGCACTAGCCATGATGCTTTTTAACTTTTATATTAAGTGTTTGTAGCCTATGAATGAATACTGGACTTGATCTTTTTAAATAATGCTTGATTATTATAGTTATATGAACCAGTTTACACACTCATTTAGTTAAGATGTTAGATTTCAATGCATTGCAAGAACATTTAAATAAGTTGAATGTATGTTTACTCCAAAGGTGTGTGAAGTGTAGGACCAGGGTTGGAAAAGTATTTCACATGTCTTTGTGTGTTTCTTGTTTTTCTCTGGGACTGGTGTAGCGTGTATGCTTTCCATTGGTTGACACGACAGGAAGGCACATGTGAACAGGAAAGCGACCTCGATCCACATGCACATACATACGCATCTCTTACACCTCAGATGGGAGAAAATTTAGTGATGACCTTTAACCCCACCCTTCCATCCCTGTCCACCCATCCTGAAAGCTGAAAGACACTGTGACTTCTCTCCCCTCCAACTTTGATGTAGCTACTTCCGTAGATATGGTGATGTATGGGCAGCCAATCAGAGGAAGGTTTAGCTAGTCAGCTTTAGCTGGGATCTGTCTTATGGGAGCATCTCTATGCTCGCCAACTTAACTGCCAAGATGCATTGTAGAATCTGTTTTTGTAAGTGTCTTTTATTATTGCTATCATGTTTTTATAAACAGTGACAAGGGACTCGCGTATCATTTTAAAGAGAAATACTCTGCTTAATTTTTAACTTTTGTTTACAGCTATAAGAAAGACGAAATGTTCTTTCTTGTGGCTTTTTTCCACAATGATTGTTTATAGCCAAAATTCTCTTTTTTCTAGAAGAAAAAAAAAAACCCGCCAAAATCATGAGTGGCCTATGATTCATATGCCTTAGTAGTGAAATGTATTCAAGTTTGCTATTTTTTTTATCTGTAGTCTTAAAATGTGAAACTGGATTAAGGCTACACGAAAGTGCTGTATTTTCTGTGGTGCTGTGATTTGGGATTAAATGAAATTGGGAGATTCCTATCAGTTTCTTTCAGTCTTCCTGCTCATTTCGCTGCTGCAACTCTGTAGATGACCCTCACTGCATCTCTCTCCATCTCTCTTTGCATCTGCCTCTCATTTAGTGACAGTATTTCATTTGTTTACCGTACCCCTGTTCGCACCTACGTGCTGAGGATGCCAGTGTGTGAATGTGATCTTAGAAAACGTTTTGCATTGACATTCATGTTTGTAGTTTACGGTAACTGTTTTTGCCGCAAGTGTTCTCAGAAGAGAAGACTTAAAGATCTGTACATGATCTTTACTGACTATAACACGCCTTCGAAAAATAAAGAGCCTGCCTGATCATTTACAGAGGAAACTCGAGAGCTTTTGCTTGGAGCTTTAGCTATTCTTGCCTTTTGATGTTTCATGATTGTTTTTCCTTTGTGAAACGACCAGACTCGTATGAATCGGAGCCCCGAAAAGAAGCTAAAGGACTAGAGACTGATCCCAATCTCACCCCTGTCACTATGGATGGGGTAAGTCTGGGGGCAACCCCACTCTATACCCGCCCCCCAGCTGCACACACCATCCCAAACCCCTTTCCCAGGAGCAGCAAAATCTTCAGCCCAGCTTTTGGTACTTTTTAACCACCCATAGTCCCATGCAGCTTCTTTAACTGGAGTGTGGCACGATGATGACTATGCTTTTATGACGCAAGCATACTGTAAAACATGTTCATGTGTGAGTGTCAGGAGGCACCCACACTTTAAAACCATTTTACAATTCCTTTTCTGGTATTTGTACGTAATTCAAGATATCCCCCACAAGGCTTCGCTCGCATCTGCTTCCATTGTGCATGTTTCTTTTTTTGTTCTTGTTTCAACCCCCCTCAAAAAACAAACGCTTTCTGATGTGACTGTTCCAACTTAACTAGGTCCCTAAGGAACTGTGGACACCATACGCAGTGCTGGTTTGGGGGGAAGAAAGTTAGCGTCGCGCAATGAACGAGAAGGTCTCTCTGACTCCATTCAGGTAAACGCACTGCGCCTCGCCCCCTTTCTACCTGTCGTCCTCCCCGATAGCGTTTGCGCCTGACCGTGTATCCGCTGTATTTCTCCTCACCACCACCCCACCCCTCTTGTAGATTCCTCACCTCTCGTCACCATTGCTGTAGCCAATGGGTTTCTCTAAACACCAGTGTTATACTACTATCTGTCACTGGCAAAAGGGGTGGCGGCGGGGGTGACTATTTGCTGCTTCGGTGGTTAGTGTGTCGGTAATGGCTTGGTGCTTGGTGCTCTAATAATTGATCTGTTGGTTTAGCTTCGGAGAGAATGTGGATAAAAGTGGTCGAATGAATGAAATTATTAGTCAGTGCATTAAAGGCTGCTTTAAATGAGTGTGGCTTAAGTAAGGTTGGCTGATAAAGGTGTGTGACAAAGGTGAATGCTTGCGAGTCATTAAAGGCTTGGCAGATGTGGACCTTGCTCAAGAGTTCCTCCAATATCGTCGACCTCACCTGGCCCTCTTCCATGTGCCTTTTAGTTTGTTTATTTGATTTAACCCCTGCCCCCCCCAGGCTTCCTCGAGTCGTCTCGCCGTTGACGCCCAGCTCGCCGCCGCCCTCGCCGTATCCCCAGTGCTAATTGTTACGTTTGTTCAGTGTTAACCACTGCTTGAACGCATCCCCGAAAGCTCTGTGACTAGACACGAGGCACTGGCCAAGATTTTATTCGCAAGACTCTCATTTGAACTCAGTGACACTGGCGAGCCTTATCTTGGAGGGCAGTGCTTGACTTTGATAAATTGCTGAGTCAAAACCCAGCAAGTCATTCTTACAATAAACCTCTGCTTTTGCCTCCTAGATTGACAGTAGTCAAAGTCATCCCAAATAGTTAGGGTTTACCCCAAAAAATGTTTTGTCAGATTAAAAAACATGTTAATCTGAAAGCTATATTGTGTTACCTGTTTAAATGGGAGTCTGATATGATGTTTGTGTTTAAAATAGCTGAATGTACGATAATTAGGTGGCACAGATTTAGATTACTATCCTGGTAGGCGAATGTCCTATAAAACAAGTGGCTTTAGAATAGATGGGGGGAAAAACCACTGCTGAACCTGAGTTGCCGGAGGGCTACTTACAGGACCTTTCCTCCAGAGGGAGCATTATAGTTAAGTTTGGTTCATCTCACTAGAAGGTGCTGTTGTTCTTGATTTTACAGCCACATGAGGTGATGATTCTTCTTTCCTATACCAAACCATGCCAAGACATGTAGCATCTTCACATCCATTGTCGCACACATCTGCATTGTTTTGTGTGTCTACGGAAGTAAGTCCATAGTGGCTATTTACCTTTGGGAGGACTAGATTACCTCAATAAGGACTAGATTACCTCAATTTTAGATCTTATTCTGGAGGATGAGGAACTGTCCATTACCTGAAATAAGATATATCTGTTATTCATAGTCAGAGTAACCATGATACTCCCTATGTCAGTGGTATGAAGATATTTGACATGCAGATATTTGTGGTTGACAGATTTCTGTGATGTCTGTGGCATTCGTTAATGATGACAGATGTCTGTGGCAGATATATACCAATCGGTGTTTGAGAAGAACCTTCCATTCAGGATCTCAGCTCTGTAATATCAAAAGAATCCCTCACCTTCTCCAACATACTCTTCCAGCTTAAGTCTCTTTGACTCTAGACTCGTGGTATACGCTCCACAATTTCCACGGATAACAGAATGCTCTCTCCGTCTACTTTCTCCCCAGATATCGTCACCCTTCTTGCACAAACTGGACGATAACAATAACACAACTTCTAGCGGTTGTGTCCCATTTATTTTTAGAAAGAGCTCCGCTCCAGTATTTTCCTTTTTTTTTCCCATTTTTTTCCTTTTTATTTTTAGGGATCTTTTTTTAATCCCTTTATAAGGACACCCCTACTGAGTGTAAAGGATACTCATTTTTATAACATGTATGAAACGAGAATTATTTCTATTGCAGGTGATAGGATATGAGCTGGTCGTACTTCTAATGAATATGTGCATGACTTGTTAATGTGTGTATATTGCAAAAACCTTGCGACTGGTAAAGTGTACTCTCCTACACCAGCTTCTGCATGAACACTGATTGGCATCGCATGCTTACTGCAATAAACTAGTACTATGACAGCATATGTTATGTTGTGCTTATTTACTTGTCATTATTGTAAATAATTATTTAATTTTCTTGTTTAGGAAGTACATGATTGCTTGCAAAACAATCTCTTAATGTTATTTTCTGAAGTAGTTTTTCCATAAGAATTTTTTTCCTTTGAATTGGTCTTCTAACGTATTACAGACTTGTTTGATATGAATGAGATAGAAGTACAACTGTGTATAGTAATTATATAGCAAAGGTACAGACATTACTTTTTATTACAGCGGAAACGATCTGAACAGGCCTGGGAACTGTCTGAGCACTTTTTTTCAATGCATAATAGTTAGCTGGATGCGTTTAAACTGGCCCCAGAACTGTTATTTGGATAATTATAAAGACTAAAGCCAAGGACAACAGGTGCTCTTAGCAAAGTGGAGGGCACCAGTAGGCGTGTGTGAGGTCTTTCCCTGCCCTTCACTAAAAGAGCCTCCAGTAATTGGTCCCAGTTCACAGTGTGTCCCGCCTCTCACACCTTTTAGGTTGCATAACCCGACACCCACTCGACTAGTTCTCTTATTTATTGGGGTGCAGTCACGTGTGTTACTTTTGACCAGGATAGGAGCACTGGGCAGCAGAAGTTCTGCTCGCACCTCCACAAAGGCACCTCAGACGAGTGGAGTCTGGCCTCTTCCTCCACGGTCATACAAGTACACACTGAACGGGGGTTTCTCTAACGCACGGACAGGATTGTTAGTTTACAACCTAAAGCTCAAGGGACATAACTTCTAATATAAGGGGTTAGAGGGATAAGAGTAAAAGATGGCGACTACTGTTGAGACACAGGTGCAGTATAACAACACCTACATGATGACTACGGAAGAGTACATGATTCAGGAGGACAGCTGGGACAGGGACCTTCTGCTGGACCCTGCCTGGGAGAAACAGCAGAGGAAGGTATGTTCATGGGGATGTCCTGAAAATCACTCAAACATGATCATGTCACATTGAGGGGGACCTTTTTTGTATTTAACATTTGTATAACTTTACCATGGTAACCGTAGATTCCACGAAAATACAAGTTATCGTTTATATAATGAAAATTAATAAATCACAAAATTCTAAAAGGATTTTACACCGTTTACATTGTATGATTTTATAGTAGCATAGTAGTTTTGGTGTAAATTAAGGCCATCATCTTTATTAGGCTCTACCTTATTATATTTCTTTAATTGTGGAAACCAGCTTTAGCTAAAATGCTGTCAAAACAGTAATTGTTAATAATATGGTCTCAAAATAATGAAGATGCTGAAAAGTTTACTAAATTGCCTTAAGGAAATCCTGTATTCATTTATTATGTTTTTATTTATTTTACCATAGTACGGATAGCTGTAGTGACTGGTTGGTAGCCTACTAAACTTACTGTACAACACTTACATACGATGTAAGAACATTTAACGTCGATTCGATCTGACAAGCGAGTTTACATGATGTACAGCTGTTGGTTTCATTCACAGTTTTCCTTCGTGTTGTCTTACCAAATCCCCGCCCTCCTCATTCAGCGTGTAGCTAATTTTATTCGGTCTTCGTGTATTATTCTATAAACCCGTGTTCATAATCGCAATAACGAACATAGACCCCGTCATTCGTTTAATTTTTAAAATGGTGTAAAATCGCCTCACAGAAAAGCGCGCGAAACTTTTAACGCATTCTGTGGAAACACTACTTTTTAAACCTACCTGTGCCTTAAACGATTAAATCGTCGCTCTTTAGTGTGACCCCGTCCTGTGTGTGTGAAGGTAGAGAAGTTGGGTAGATTAAGTTTTTTGAAGATCATCTGACTGACAGAAATGACAGGTGACGTTTAATAGCCGTCAGGGGAGCTCGTGCCACTGTCTGAGGTGACGTCAGCCAAGAACCACTGATTGATCTCTGCAAACCACAGATTTGTGGTGTCAGGCAAGGATACATTTGTTAAGACAGAAATAGACACTTTTAATTCACAATTTGCCTTATTTTCAGATGCTTACTTGTTCTTATAGTGGGAGATTTTTTATTTTTTAAATATGGTCACTACACTGGCGATGTGTATATTTTTTTTATAAGGCCATGGCCATTAACTGTCTTAACTATTTTATTGAAGAAATGTTTTTGCAAGAAAAGACCTTGATAATAATGTAGAAAAGCAATTGCATGTGCAGTACTCTCAATAAAGGTGTCTCACAAACACTTGTTGGCTAGACCTGACAAAGCTGAAAGACTTCAACAGATGGTGTGCGAGCAAGAGAAGTGCAAGGAGGGTTCATTTCAGTCTGTGAATAAACATGCCCTAAAAATACTCCTGAACCTTGCCGCCCCATCTCCCGTATTCCTCCTCCGCTCCCTCCATTCTTAAGGCCGTCTTTGCCTGTGCAGTTGCTCCCTCTGTATTCAACAGCTCTCAAAAACGGCACCATGTCAGTTGTCACTATTTTAATAGCGCACATTTTCAAGGTGCCCACGGTGGTGTAGCATAGCCATCACCTCAGACCTGAAGAAATCAATGGGCTACATGTGTCAATACTTGTTTTCTGTCCCTCAACTAACAAAATGTAATTTAAAGGTGTAGTTCAACAAAAAATTTAATTCTGTCATTATTTACTCACCCTCATGTCGTTCCAATCCCGTAAGACTTTCCTGCATCATCGGAACACAAATGAAGATCTTTTAGTTGAAATCCTGAGAGCTTTCTGTCCATCCGCTGACAGATACGCAACTGAAACTTTGACACCTCAAAAAGCCTGAAAAAAATGTTGTTCATCACATAAAGCGATAGTCTTTTCAGAAAGTTTGGACTGAACCGTTTAATTCACATGGATTGGTTTTACGATCTCTTTATGAACTTTTTGAAGCGTCAAAGTGGTAGTTGCGTAGCTGTCAATGGAGGGACAGAAATCTCTCAGATTTAATCAAAAAGATCTTAATTTGTGTCCGAAGATGAACGGAAGTCTTATGGGCTTTGAACGACAGGGTGAGTAAATTGTCACAATTTTCCATTTTGGATGAACTATCCCTTTAAGAGTCACTTTTTGCCATTCAGTCAAGATGTTTTATTTCTCTTGTGGAGATAAGAACATGCCCACTAGCGCCCCCTGGATTATGTGAATTTTTTTTGTGTCTTCATAGAAATAACCTATATAAATGTTTTTTTAAAAATGTAGCTGAATAAATGATGCAAGTCTGATTACAGTAAGGTTATAAAACTTTTAACTTGATGATATTGCAGTGAAGAAAAGCTTCAGATCAGATGGGTTTCAGACTTAATGCCTTTGCAGAGTGTCTTTAAAACATCCTCAGGCATGTAGGATCAGCATAAGGAGCTGATATCACAGCGTAAATATAGAAAGTGCATCATTTTGCAATGAAACGAATATGGGGGTCGCGTGGGGGTGGGGGTTCTGCACCTGTTCTAGCGCACATATCAGAAGCCCCAGTAATACAGCGATTGTCAACATGCTGTTTCATCTGATATCTGTCAAAAGGCAGCAGAAAATAGACAAATTGTTTCTAAGCGTCGTTCTGCTGATGACTAGTAAATTCTGTATTTAAATGCTCTCACAATCTGTCTTTAAATAGCATCACACTGCCCGGTATCCTAACGGCAGCTCTTAAGCATCCATCAGTGAAAGAAACCGAGAAAAGCGTCTTAGTGGTGCCATCTAGAGGGACATGCAGTTATGGGAAATCTCCCATAGCGTATTTGTAAAAGTAGAAGGTTTTTTTTTGTTTTTGTTTTTACAACATTTAAATTAAATCTAAGTTTTAAGACGACAGTTTGTTGTTGCTGGCTGTAGCTATTGCTAATGTGGCTAAACTATCAACTTCACAGTTATGTTTAGCCAGATTAGCATGTCCTTGCTAAATACATCTGGGATTTTATTTTATTAAGGATTGAAATATTGTCTTTTAGCTCTATTAAGCATAAGAAGGTGCATCTGATGTTGTTGCAACTTATAGAACTGGGTGTGTTTCTGTTTTTTTTATGCGTAGAACAGGATAATATGGTATATTTGTTTGCTAATGTTTTGTAGGTAAATGCTAAGCAATATTTGAGTGTTGTGGTGATCCCTTATTTTGTTTTTCATTTCTCCTAAGTCTCTTAAAAACGGGTTAAATTTGCAATGACTCTCATTGTATTTTCACAGCATTTCTGGTTTAATCTCGTTAGTAAAAATGACGATAGAGACGTTTTTAAAACTTCATTTCAATGCGAGTAGCCCTCAAAAAAAAAAGAATTTCTCTACAAAAGAAAAACAATATAAATGTTGTCAGTGACTGTATATTGTTATATAAACAAATCCATTTACACATTCTTCCTTATGTTCATTTAGAGGAAAATACAACTTAGGCTACTAAAAAGAAATTTCTGAGCAAATGTATCAAGATAATGAATTTGATTAAAAGGTTGGTTTGGTTGGGTTGGGTTGGGGGGGGGGGGAGTATATATATATACTCCGACCTTCAAATGATCTTTGACATGCATCAAGATGTAAACAATACCTACACATCCTCATTGCCCAAGTGAATTATAAATATCCTTCACAAAAGTCTGATCAAGAACCTTATTTGCAAACAAACTGTTGTATTCATGTGGGGAGTCACTGTCACTGCTGGTCAAATTTAAGTTGACGTGAGTTATCGGTGGTGTGAAGGCGCTTCTTTCTGCCAGTCATTTTTGAGGGCTGCTTCTACTTCTGTAGCTGAGTAGAGTTACAATGTTTCCGTTGCTTCTGATCTCATCGTCAGGGGTTAGATATCATAAGGACATGGCAGTCGTTCTCCATGCTCAAATTCATTGGCACATTTTGAGTTTCGTATCAGATTCAGACTATGGCGACATTTGCATAGAAAAAATATCATATTTCCCCATGGCTTAGGCTACTACTAATATTATTATTTACAACATGATATTTAACTTTTACCATATACTGTTAAACATAAATTGCTGCCTTAAATTTTTAAGTACAATCAATTTGGATGTTTAAGTCATTTCAACTGATTTGTATAACTTAGTATGTTGTCATAACTTATTGTTTATATAATTTTTTACAGTGTATGTTTTTGACTTTTTCCTAAATTGGAAATATTATTTTTGTTTTCTAAATTATTTCATGCCTTTTCTGAGAAAAGGTGCCATCTATTTTTAGAGAACGACTGACCCAAATATTTAAGAAGATCTTATATTCTCAGTATTGTGAGGTTTTGTGCAGTGGGAATGTTTTATGTGTGTGTTATGTAACAACCTCTCAAACATCTGGATTTATTTACAATGAAGAGGCAAACATAATGCATGCAATCATTGTTATTTCTGATATTAATCAGTTTGCATTTGCCATACACAATTATGTTTTTATTAATTTTTTAAGTTAGATTAATATGTATTTTAAATATATTTATGGCTGGGAAATAACAATCACACAAATAATTGTTTAACCCATGCTCTTAATTTGGTAACATGGTGTATTTCAAAGGGAAAACAATTTCATCATTTGTCGAAAAAGAAAACGATTCTGACTCTCATTTTTCAGTAAGTTTCAGGTCCTATTGTGTATTAGTGTCATTTATTATTTGTGTATTATTCTTCCTGAGAGAAAGTGTTTCGGAGAGCGAGGGAGAGATTGTGTGGTCAGATCAGATGGCAGTTCTATTCCAGAAGCGGTGGCCATGTAGGGCAGCAACTATAAACTACCAGAGGAGCACACTGGCCTCATGGCGGCTTTGTGTGTGTGTGTGTGTGTGTGTGTGTGTGTGTGTGCGCGCACGCAAGTGTTTGTAAATGTGTGTTTATAGGTTTATGCATATGCAGTTATATATAAACATTTGCTTTACTTACAAAAATGGTACTATATGTTTTCTTGGACACTTTCATGCGGTATCATGGTGGTGTGTGTTTAAAGTACCGTTGGAGAACAATGAAG